GCCAATTACAATACGTTGAGCGAGCGGATCAAATTTTGACCATGCGCGCTGGGACAATTGTAAACGAAGTTACGTCACAGGTGATGGGATACCGGTCCGTGAAGCTCCACTCGCCCGGAGAATCCCGTGAGAGGGAGAGAAAGTGTCCGAGTAACAAGACGGTGGAATTTGCTATCGAAGAGGAAATTCAAGAAAAGTATCGCACACGTTCGAACCTGTTTGAAGAAGAAGAAATGATGGGGCCTGTGTCATGCACAATTCTGTGGAATTATCTCAGAACCGGCGCCTGTCTACCATTCATCGTTGTATTTGCACTGTTTACCTTTGTCGTTCAAGGTAAGAAATACAAGAGAAATAAAGTCTTACCGCAAATACAGGGATAATTCAGGAACAAGGTTCTAGACCAGCAGTAGAGTAAGTGTGAGGATCGTCCATGACAAGCATCTTCCTGAAATTTTAGGGGTATTCTGTAATATTTCACTATAGTTAATAAACACTTTCTTACTAATGAAGAGCGAAACACGTGCATCCTAAGAACTCCTGATTTTTCCATGGCGGTGCACGATTGTTAGCATAACGAAAACTGATTCGAACCAATTTTTCAACAAACTTATATCAGCTTGCTTAGCAAGATCGGCATCGCTCTGCTGCTTTCATTTAGCTTTACCTTTACCTATTTAATGAATGCGACTAAAAAAAGTTCGGGGATAGTTAAAATTCTCTTCGTTCTACAGGAGCCATTCTCATCCCGGACATGTGGCTATTGCGCATGAGTGAGTCTGCTACTCTGTTGAACCTCGATCAGACCACTTGGTATATTTATGCCGCTATGGTGGGCGGAGTATTCATGCTGTCAATCATGCGTGCTTCGTTTTTCTTCGCTACCACCTTACGTTCATCCGAACGCCTTCACCAGAATATGGTTGTTTCTATTCTTCGTGCACCAGTCTTATTTTTTGACACGAATTCAGCCATTAGCATTTTGAACCGCTTCTCAAAAGATATCGGGTGCATGGACGAACTTTTACCAAGTGTATTTCTGCGCGCCATTCAGATAACCCTATTCGCCATCTCAGCCTTTCTCCTCCCAGTGGTTCTCAATCCGAGCGTACTTTTAGGTGGAATACCGCTGTTCGTTTTGTTTCTCTTATTATGGGCTTACTCTCTCAAAACCGCGCGCCAAGTTAGAAGACTGGAGATCAGCTCTCGAAAGCCAGTGGTATCTCATTTCTCGGAGACATTGATGGGACTGGTGACGATCAGGACTCACAGTATGCAGAAGTCCTTCACAGAGGATTTCTATGGGTTCGTGTAAATTTTTTCAATTACATTTTGCATAACATGATTTAGTATTATCTGACGCTATCTTAAACGCTGCCTCGTCATCAACTACACCGACACTAAATGACTTAGTATCTTAAACAAACACCTAATGGTGTCTGTATATAATTAACTTGAATAATTCCGGCTATTACTACTTTAAAAACAGTACTTTTATACTGACAGTCGAATGTCTCTGCATTGGTACTCTTCTAAAGGTGTATTTTTAAGGGATCAAAGACAAAGGAAAGCTAATGAGTTATGCTACTCTTTCCTGTGTGTCTTGGGAAACTTTTTACGTTCGGAATTTAAACATATGAAAGCCTTGTCTCTCTCTTTTTCCAAGGACCATGACACAATAATAATTCTATTATGTGATAATTATTCATATCATAATAAAACTCGCGGTTTGATTTCTGTTAGTTACCAAGATTCACACAGTCAAGGATGGTGCATGACTACCTCATGTTGGAGCTGGATCGGGTTCCGCCTCGACTCAGTGTGCGTACTCTTCATTGTTTCAGTGGTTGCTGGAGCGTTTTATGTGAAGCTGGATGCAGGTATTTTTGAATGAAAGTAACTGCCGCCTTTTTCATACAGTAAATTGTTTTTAGAATGTTTTACTGAAAGCTACAGAAACAAAATGAACTGGTCAGGAAGCCGGTACCTGCTTCTCTGCACCTTAAATTTTGATTGTAAAATATAGCTTTGGGCCCTTCAATTTACCTGGACTTTTGAAATTTGACAATCGGGCCCCTGGCCTCAGATTATTTAAAGATAATATGTAATATCTATTTGGCATCGCCTGAAATCGATTGTATCCACTGGTTACCTCGGGAAACAGTACGAGTACTTTGTGAGGGTGACTTGATAAACATTTAAGATATTTTGTTACTAAAAGTCTAATCCTATCTTTAAACTGTTTCAGCCAGCACCATTCTGTCACTGATCTACACCCTTCAGTTGTTGAATGATGTGTCGCAAAATGGCGTCAAACGTTCCTTTGAAGTTGAAAATTATATGAGTGCTGTTTATCGCAACTTGGCCTGCGCAGAGATTGTACCAGAACCTGGATACGCCATGGAGATCCAGCCTCCAGTGCCATGGCCAAAAGACGGCGCAGTTTCCTTCGAAAACATCTCCTTGAGCTACAGTAGAGAAGGGTCCAGGGTATTAAAAGAAATCTCCTTTGATGTGTACCCTGGGGAGAGGTTTGGCATCACAGGACGTCCAGGAGCTGGAAAGTCGTCTATCATAAATGCACTGTTTCGATTGGTCCCGGACTGTGCAGGTAAGATAATGATTGACGATGTCACTATCAACAACCTTGACCTTCAAAGGAGTAGGCGTGGCATTTCAATTATTACCAAGGAGCCAATCCTCTTCATGGGCACACTACGCATGAACGTGGATCCATTCCTTAGCCATACCGAGAGGGAGATCTGGGAAGTCCTTGAGAAATGTCATTTGAAGTCCTGGGTCGAGAGCCTTCCCAAACAGTTGCAACAGGACCTCGCGGATTGTGGAGCTACCCTGGGTCCAAGTGAGCGCCAACTCATCTCCTTTGCACGTGCGCTTCTTCAGAAAAACAAAGTCATTGTAATCGACGAGGCGTCGTCCACTGTGGATTACAGAACGGATCGCCTCATTCAAGAAATTATCCGAAACTGCCTCCTTGACAGCACTGTCATTACCATTCCTCATCGTCTGAGCACGATTATTGATTACAATCGTGTGATGGTGCTTGACCGCGGAAAAATCGTGGAGCTAGACAAACCGGAAGTGTTATTGAAGAAGGATGCAGGTTACTTCGCGCATTTGTATGGAAATCAATGCCCATCGTAATCTCTTGTGCGCAGACCTCCTGCGTTTGCCCACACAAGTTGGACCTTGGTGCGAGATCTAGTGAGTTTTATCTCATTCTACAATAGGGAGTATATATAGTTATAAGATAGCTAAGGGAAACTATAGTGAGTGCGAAGATTTCAATCTTCTTTGATAGCCTAATTTACTTAAATAAGAACAAATTCTGTTTTTGACAATTAAGATTACTCGTGTAGTAAGTCGTAGTACATAAGGGTATTTTTCTCCTGATCTAAAAAATATTTTTTATTATTTTTGTGACACTATAATAACCATGATCTTTGAAGGTTGATTTTAGGCTAAAATCCCACTGGTTAAAAAATTATAACGTCAAAGGTACCTTGTTATTTTCGTCAATGACAGATTTATCTAAATATTGAAGTTCATTCGATCTACGCCAATACATCAAAATGTCAGTTTTGGTTGCCATGATAAAATAGGTTAAATATGAACTGGAAAGCAGAGTTTCGTAATTTCGTTATATGATAATTAGATCATGATCAAGCTAAGAACTGAATAAACTGTTGTCACAAGTGATTTTCCTCGTTAACCGTCCGTATTATTGGTTTCCCTTACGGCCCTCCAATTCATTAGTCGCAATGCGCAATGAGTTATGGCTCTGTTGCATGTACTCGCAATGTTGTATTGTTATCTGCCACATGCACTGCAATCGCGCATTACGTTTTGTGTACATGTTGTTATTTCCGCTGTGCTCCCGTTGCGGTGCTCGCCATAAACTCTTTAACTCGCAGAAGTGATTAACATGTAACTTCTCCCTGTAATATCTATACATTATTCAGCAATAAGGTTACGAGAATACTCTAACATATTAAGTAGAAGTTGTTATTTTGATCTAACTCCAGATTCTCTTAAATAATTTACAAGGAAATGTGTAGGAGCCAGAGGGGAGAATTAACAATCAAATCTTGGGTGTTAAAGGGTTATTAGATTGTGTTGGATGCCAAGAACCGATTATAACCTGATTTTTGAGAAGTCAAAGCCATCTGCACAGTTCCTCGACTACACCACCATCTAAGTAAGTATTCAGGCCCGCTCACCGACATGACGATAGCAAGAGAATAAATTGGAAAGATGTTGGTGACAGTCCATATAGGCAACTTACTTTTATTGAACGGAAGCATTTTGGAATGAGATATAACTCTTTTTCATATCTATTTGATAGCTCAACCTTAATTCTAAACAATTACATTAAAGCAATAAAACTAAATGACAGCTGAACACATGTTCCAAGATGATAAAAACCAGAAGAAATCAATATGTTAAGCTGATGTTTCGAAAAGGTATCATGAAAGGGTTTCCCCCAAGAAAAACACTTAAAAGGAAGTCTGCCAAAAATTAGCAATTAACTATTCTAAGAAGTATTTCCTTGTATGATGAAATTTACTGAAAGACAAACCCTTCGGAAAAACAACCTGAGTTATGCGTTAATTCTTAAAGTGCTTACATCAGATCATATATAATAACCACTCTTAAAACTAAACGATGAACAGGAAACAATAGGATCCCGCCGAAGGTGACTAAATTAATTTATAGAACTATAATCATAGATAATAAGTCTATTCTAAAATTTTCAGAAATTTCCTCAAAGCCGATTACGGATCCGCTTGTCTGTATTAAATCTAATTAGAAGATGTAAAAGTAGCTCTTCGAGATGATTATATTAGGTTTGCGATAACCCTAAACGTGCTATCACCATATAGCATAATAACCACTCTTGTAACTAAACAATGAAAAGGAAACAGTAAATTCCCCTTTTTCATCGAAAATTACCGCTGAAGGTGGTAATAATAACGACAATGATTCATTAGGGACTGGTCTTTATTTATCGGCCATGGGGGTGGAGGAGTTTGGTTGACTCACGATAAGTTCACCTGCTCCGCCCTTAAAGCTTTGTGATATTCTTGTGATCCCCTTCTCCTCATTGGCAATTCATCGGCAGTCAATTTCCTGTAGTCAGCCCTTTGTACTCTGTTGGCGACGACTGACCCCCCCCTTCTCCCTGAAAATCACGTGATCCTCCAAAATCCTTCGCCCCACCCCAGGCGAAAAATACTAACTGATCCCTTGAAAAAAGGAATGATTATACTTTTGTTTCAGCCGGAAGTTGTGTTTCCGGCTTCGCTACTGTGAGATACTCACTTTCTTGCACTGGAAGTGGCAGTTGATTAGACTCTTCGTCCTTGGCTGGCCTTATACTCCCCTGTACATCAAGCCTTTCCACATCATTATCGCCAGGCTTTTTACATGCTTGCCTTGTACGTCTTTTTTTCACGATAAGGATAAGCGCCACCAGCACTAAGATCATTAATGGAACTCCAATTGCAACGCCAATCATCTTACCATGTGATGAAGAAACATCTTCCGTGGAAGCTGAATCCTTTTTAAAGTGCTCTGTGACTGGAGTGGACACTTGCACTTTTGTTAAGGTTGCCAATGATGACGCGGAGAGATTGGCCTCCGCGTCAAGTACCCTTTTACTGACACTCACATTAGCTATCACCTTGCTACACTTCTCTGATCTAAGCTCGCTGCACTGCTTGTTTTTAGGCACCCCCGGCACTTGACACTCTGGCTCAATGATGTCGTCCTTGTCGTTGCAGCAAGCGGAACACGGTCTACACATGCTAAGCATATCTTCTGGGTAAGCTCCAAGCTTACAGTTCGTCCCGCACACTGCCTCAGAGGTCAGGGTGCAAGGGCTGATAGTCTCTCGATATTCTCCACAATTCATACAACTCTTGCACGCCCCGGCTTCGCTCTTAGATGAATATGTTCTGCCTAGCTCACATGGCTTACAAACGATGGGTGTCTGTGGCGATATTATATCACCACAGTCCACAGAGAGACCCTGCCCCGCCGGACACACCAAGCAGTCCTGGCACTGAACTTGCCCCGTTACTGAATCCCAGATGGTTATACTGTTACCTGGACATGATGAGGCGGAGACAGACATCCAGAAGACAGACACCACGGTCATGTATGGTATGCCGAAAAGTCGATTAGAAGAGCACATCAGAAATCTCAAAGCTAAAACTTTTAGAGCTGTTCAATTCAGGGCTTGGGGTCGTGCTGAAAAAGAAAGTCATTTTGAGTCAAGTGAGCTCAAAAACAGCTGCTTTATTGGCAACAGATGGGTTGGTCAGAAGAACAAACGTGAGTAAGATCTGAAACATTGAGCGACAACGCGGCATTACAATTTAATAGTTGGTAGGATGTCCGCATGCAGTAGGATATGACATGATATCGATTCATCTGTATTATCAGCTGGTAAGACCCCTATTTCCTCGAATAAAACATGGTGTTCGGCTAATAGGTAGCATCCTCATTAAAAGGAAAGGTGCTTAATTGGAAGGCATTGATCATTGCTGGAGCTAAAAAGCCCTCAAATGAGAGAAACAGAAAGGTTTTCCTTCTGCCCCTTTTATCATTTTAACCAGAAAAGACATTAGGAGGGGAGATGGCGCCTAATGGAGAGTGGGTGCTAATTTCCCATTTTGGTCAAGGTGTGTAAACGTCTGAGTCCTTGTCGGTTGCAAATCGTATCGTATCGTATCGATCGGTGGCGAAAATCAAATGCGATATAAACCAACGATCAAGTTCGCAACGATCAACGATTAATTAGTGGACATTTGATTTGATAAACTTTAACATAAAGCAAGTTTATTGATTAATGAATTCACAACGAAAATCAACAGCATCCCCTTCTTGGAGTTTTCATATTGGGTCAAAGAAATGTATCAAAGAAAGGCCCTTACATTGTTTAAAGCCTTGCTTAAATTAAAGCGAACTGAGTCCTGAAATCTTGGATCGCTTGCTAACGATAGTGTTTTGATTTCCTTTCGGGAATCCAGCGAACTGAAATATAACAGTAAATTTTCCCAAATACATCGATTAAAAACAAGACAGGGACCTGGTTATCCTGGAAACGAGTTCTGAAATCATTCCAAACAGCATTATCTCGTTTACAAGTGCGCAACTAATGCAAATCCCAGGCGTTTTGATTGCGACGGGGAAACCAACGAAATGATGAGGAGGACGGAAACGCGAACACTAGAAGTCGAAGAAGAGTCGTGTCCAGACTCTCCGCGCGCTCTTCCGTTCTCAAATGACGCTCCCGTTCTCTTGCTAAATCTCTTGTATGGATGGACGACGGCTCCCTTCCTTAGAAAGAGAGGAAGCTCCCAGAGGCATTTCATCGTTTGAGCAGAGTCGGATAGATAGCACACAGTTTGCGATTCCTTTTGTCTTCAGAAAAGGTAACAAAAAGCTCAGAATCTACAATGATTATGGCCTTCTAAGATCTAACACGCTTCACGACAACGTGAAGGCAATAAGCTGGGATCAAAGCTGATTCGACATTCCTTAAATGATCATAACCGCAAGGGAACCACTATACAGCGCTTCCAACCATACAGGTTGTATGTGTTTAGAGGCAAATGTATGAAGCAGTTGAGCCTAAATGTTTTAAGTCTATCTGGGTAAAGTCATTCAACACGAATAGACCAGAAGAAAGTGAGATTTCGGTATCGTCTTAAAATCGTTTCACATCTAAGCCTCTATGTCAGCTAAGGTATAAAGCAATTTTATATTCCGTTTACAGCTGTAGATTTTGGGTTTCCCAAATGCGGTAATGACACGCGACACGCGGGTTATCGGGAAGATTTTTTTAAGGTCAGTCGCAAACAAATAAAGTTTTCTGATTTTGGTTGTTGCGCACTTGCGTTACAAATCGTCAAAAACTGACAAATGGTGTCAATCATCACTGTGACATTTTTTACCTTCAGTGGTTCCGGAAGTTGAAACCGTACATTGCGCAATTGACGTGAGTCGGTTAGAGGCATTCAGGCTCCTTTTATTTTTTTCATCTGTTTGTGCATACAGCAATTAGATAAGAACAAGATTTGTTTTAAAAAGTTTTTAAGGCCTAAACCATTCTGAGAAGGAAAGATAAATAATTGAAAATTGGAGGGCATTTGTGACCCTTGTAAAAAATATCTTAAAATTTACCTACACTACTAAAATTGCGGCGAACACAACTCGAACTGGATAAAATGTGAGACTTGTGAGGAAAGCCAGTAAATTTAGACAAGGCCAGGAACAGAACATCACACCAAGACAGTGAGCATTTCGATTGAAAAAAGGAAAACAAAATACAAATAAGTCATATTTCCGGCTCATGTAGCAAAGTCACAAAATTACACCAGCTGGCTTACAGGCCCGCCGTAAACAGAAAAGTTCGAGTCATGATTCTGAATAACAACCAGCCTAGTGACGACATGAAAATTCTGAATTAACTCAGTCACAGTTTCTCGGGGAAAGGTTGAAATTAATCTTGAATATCAGGAATATATTATAAAACAGCGAACGCAACAGTGAAAGTGATTGATTCGCGTGACCACTATGGTTAAATGTCTCTTCTCATTTTCAGCTGATCCAATGAAACTTTGAATTTCCGTTTCTTGTACAGTCACTCTATTCTCTTTTGTTATTCTACCTTTGGACGGAATTCGAACGCGTTCGAAAAGGAAATTGCAAAATAATCTTCAAGTTCTTTAAGCCTCAAAATCAATAAAGTTGAAACCGCAAGAATAAGAATGTTTTGCACATTCAGTGTTTCAGCAGTAAATGTACTTCATCGTCCATATCCCTCACTTGCGCAATCCAAGCACTTTGTCAGAAGATTCTTGTTGCTTGTTTCTTGATTCCTTCTCAACAATGGATGATTTACCAATAATCGGATCCTTGCTTTTGCGCACAGATTTTTGGGATCGCCACGTGGCAAACAATACAACTCGCTAAAAAGGGATGTATCATGAAAGGTTTTTCCGACTTCCAAAAAAACGATTTTGATATGTTTGTGGAGTTTCTTGTTGTTTTCTTCTAATGTTCGATTCGGTCGATCGAGACGTTAGCAAGAATAAAAAGCTAAGGGGTTGTCCTATCTGTCACTATGTGGGCACCCAGATCGCCAACAGGGAATTGCGATAAATTTAGGTCACGAGTTGCGAAACAAATCGCATAAGTCCTTTACCCTATATGGAAAGATTTTCTCAAACTTTCAACTACTCAAACACTAAAGTCGCGAAGCGCCGGATGCATTGAAAAGGATGTCATAAACAATATATGCGCTTAGTCGGCAAAAACCAACGGCAAGTGATTGAATCAGTTAATGTTTGTAAGCTGCACATGAATTTTCCTCCTTCATCAAAGTTAATACAAAAGGTGATGTTATTATCATCAAATCACCTGCAAAATATTCTCGGGTCCATTAACAAAATTGTTTCAGCAATGTCTCAGACGTCTTAGGACAGCAACGTATAAAGAGTCTTTATTTTTACAAACCGCAAAAGATAGTCAGCGCTAAAAAAAGAGGTAAAATATCTCGTGATACATGTCGCAATCTTGCGACACAAAAGAATAGACTAGCATGCCCAGACAAATAACGTCCCTCTTGCCGCTGTCAAAGCGAGGATGTTGAACTCCCTGCGCAAAGTGGTCCAGTGGCACGCAACACACGGAATATAAGTCTTTTAGGAAGCTCATAATTTAAGATATAAAAAGAGCACAGTTTTCAGGTCTTGATTGAATCACTCGATCATTCTTAACGCAACCACTATTCCAAGCATCGAAACCCAAATACGGAAATACCAATCATGCCAATTCCATTAATATGCTCTTATTAAACCTTGGTGTTTCCCATACCATACTGAAACTGTTGCACAATATTTGAGATTGAAAGCTTTTAATGCTGTTCGTTTGCTTTCATCTTCTTTGGCACAAAAAAACCGAACAATTAAAAAAACACTAAAATTATTTTAAGGCTTAGACTTCCTAGGAAGTAAGAGATTTTCGAAAGGACATAAAACCTTGACTTACAACTTCATGAAGTCTCGCTGATGGAAGTTAGACGTAATTTTTTTTCTTGCTTAAAAAACCGGGGAAGGGAAAATGGAAAGAATCAGCCTACCTCTGTGTGAAGTCTAAAATCGTCGAGCTAACACAGCAAATGGACTGTTAAAAGAACGCCTTTCTGATCACGAACACGCACATCGCAAAGAAATTGTGCCCTTTTGTCTGATGGTCTTTACCATGTAATAAGAGATTATACACTGTATACAGTTGAATCTGTATTAAGCAGTTACTCACGAGGAATGCTGGGGAAAAAGTGATCTTTGGACCCAGGACATAAAACAGGAAATAAACAAAACTAATCAAAAGGGTTACCCCCGAAGGATCGCCACCTTGTTGTGGTCGGCGGGCTTGAGTGCCTCAGAGACCCTTAGAGCCATGCCGGCGGGAGCTTCGTCTCATGGTAGGGCCACCTAAGCCGGACAGGTCGAAGGGTAGAGGTTCGACGAAGCGCGATCCACCGGTCCTCCAGGTTAGGGGTTTGGGCACAGAGCTAACAGCCCTGTCCCGTAAAACACCCACGTTACGGAAACGGCAACGAAGAAAATCATCACTACTGGGCGAGACGGGCTTTCAGAGTCATCGAAAGATATTCGTATGAATGACAGTGGTGAAAGCCGAAAGCTGAAGCTAAGGAAGACCGGATCCAGTCCGAGAGCCACATAAACGACCTTGCAAGCCAGGCAGAAGATGCAGCAAGCAAGGGAGAAAGGTAGAGTCTACAAGATCGCCAAGCTGATGTGTGGTAGTTACAGTGAAGGCACTGACGCTCCGATCATGGACAAGCAGGGACGACTTCTCATGACAGAAGCCGAGCAAGACGCGCAATGGACGGAACACTTCAATAAAGTTCTGAACAGAACACCACCACCAACAGAGGCAGATATACAAGAGGCAGAGACAGACCTGGATGTCAACCCGATCCCCCAGGAAAAGAAGAGATCATAGCAGCCATCAAGTCCCTCAAGAACGAAAAATCCCCTGGAAAAAACAATCTCAGTGCAGAAGTATTTAAAGCAGATCCACAGCTAGCAGCAGACCTACTCTTTACAGACATCTGGGAGGGGATGAATCACCTGAAGATTGGACAGAGGGAGTCATTGTGAAGATTCCGAAAAAACGTGCTCTCAACAACTGCAATAACTGGCGAGGAATCGCCTTACTATCTGTACCCAGCAAGATCCTGGCCAAGATCATCATCCAGCATGTAACATCATAGAGCAGTGCACAGAGTGGCAGAGACAACCCTACATTAACTTTTAAGACTTTGAGAAGGCTTTTGATAGCGTGCACCGGGAAGTCTGTGGCGCATCCATCGGGCCTATGGGATACCACTGCAGATTATCAACATCATCAAAAGCTTCTACAACAACTTCACATGCAGAGTAGGCAACAGCGAAACCAACTTTGAAGTGAAGACTGGCGTCAGACAAGGCTATACAATGTCGGCGATGCTCTTCAACATGAGTATTGACTGGGCAATGAGGCGCACAACAGAAGATCAGTCACGGGGCATAAGTTGGACCCTCTCCTTAATGCTAGGGGACCTAGATTTTGCAGATGATCTTGCCTTGGTCTCCCATACTCAACAACACATGCAGGAAAAGACGACCCGACTCAGCACTTGCGCACAGCAAGTTGGCCTGACGATCAGCCAAAAGAAGACAGAAGTGATACTGCTGAGCGTGTCCAAACCTAGACCAGTATACGTGAACGGAGAAGACCTGCCAACAACTGAAGAGCTCACTTACCGGGGCAGCACAATAAGGTATGATGAAGGAGCTGGGAGTGACATCAGGAACCGTCTCAACAAGGCCAGAAACGCCTTCAGAAGCTCAACAACGTGTGGAGGTCCTCTCAGTTCCGCACCAAGACCAAGCTGAAGATCTGCCAAAGCTGTATGATATCCACCCTACTATACTAGCTAGCTCTAGCTGAATATTAAATTGCTTAGGATTACGTGAAATATTCCGATGTTGTGGCGAATCGTCAAGCTTGCTTGTGGCGTGACGCGAAGGCTATCTCGCGGAAACCACCAAAAATACAAATTGTAAATGGAACAGCGATTTGCTGGGGGGCATGATATCCTTGATCTGTTTTGACATTTTTCAATCAAAGTAGTATCAGAACGCTTTAATTGGTGTACCGTTATGTATCCGCGCTAAACCAACTCGGAGAAATTATTTCTTTTGCAAACACTACTTTTGGAACGCGGAAAAAAACCGTAAGTTAACTTACTAAGTTAACCTAACTGAATTTACAAAGTCTGCATGCTAATGTTAATACCATACCTGCCTACCTTACACTTCTACAGGAGATAGACAACTCCTTGGAAATGCAAAGGAGGAGGTAACAGCAATATATTTGTGTTTTCCAGTATCACAGCTGTACAATCCTCCAATTCCATCGCAAAAGTTTCCAACCCATCTTAATTTTTAGTTAAAGAAGTTATGATTTTGTTTTATAGATCATTTATTTGTAATATTACTCTAGCTCAAATGAATTTAACAACCCATCAAATTATAGTAGTCAGATAACCCACATTTTAATAGTATTATCTCAACATTATAGGAAAAGCTCGCGGATGGACAAATGGAATTGGCTGCCTTTGAGAAAGCCAATGGACCACTATCAGTTCATTTGGATGAGATTCTCAAGAAAACGAATGTCGAGAGACAAGCTTACCGAGGAAAATAATTCATTGGTAACCATATAAACACTTGCTGCAAGGTAACACAAATTCTACCCTTAGAGAAGGAATTTGTTGAATCACAAAATTTTATTACATTGTTGCGGTGTTTTTTTCCGTAGGAAGACAATATCATTGAACTATGCAGTGCTGTGGTGACAAAAACAGAGGAGCTGTGTCCTTCCTTCCTTTCTCAAGCTAGAGAAATAAGTGTTAAATTTGAATAAGTTTTCAGGTTATGTGCTGCTTGCCACTTTTTCTATGACAGTGCAGACTATCTCAATGATGGCAAGATTGATAAGCTAGGTACGTGAAAGAAAAAACCTGACTTTCATGGAAAACGTGAATACAATAATAAGATCATGTCTTAAGTCAGCTCCGCCTTTTCTTGTTTTCTTGTTGCAGCGGAAGACATCACAAATTTTCTTCAGTTCATTAGGGAAAAATTCCCAGGCATGACGATCGCACCAAAACTCCATATGCTAGAAGAACATGTTTGCCCTTTTCTTCGACAATGGCACATGAGCCTTGGATTCTAAGGTGAACAAGGGTTTGAAGGAATACGCTCCGAATTTAATACCCAGTCCCAGCATTTTGACCATCTGAAGAAAAAGGACACGAGATTACGTCAAATCCTTGTTAACCACCACATTGCCACGAGTGCGGAACTGACAGGGAAAGTTTCCAAACCTAAAGAGAGAAATTTAAAACGAAAAGCCAGTGAATAAAACTCTTTCCTTTTCACTAACAACGTATCGGTTCGTTAACTAAGAGCGAGTACTATTTAGGTAAATCTAGTGTAATTTATTTGCCCAAGTTCTAATTCAGACGAATAAAAGTGTTACCGCACTCTTTGGAACCAAAACTAAAGCTTTCCAGCCGTTTTCAGACTGTTTTGCTTGAAATTCAGTACCTCCGAAATTCAAAACGGAGTCGCATAACGGCCGATCTTAACTTATCAAAAAGGGCCTCGAATGGACTCTCAAACAATTCGGATTAAAAAACTTACCTCTGTCAGTTGTTCAGTAAGGTTTCAAGTCTTCTCTTGTGACTCTTGGTTTGCTGGGAAAAATTGGGGCCTTTTCCAAATTGAAATCAAAGTTTTCAGTCAATTTCGTAGGGTATGCTTGTTGGACTCCAGTACGGCAACGTGTTTTCGTCGAACACAGGCAAAATTTGACCGATTTTACTCAAATTTTCGACAGCAAGTGCCTCTTTTATGTGCATGCATCCGCGTGCTAAATTTCGCTCGCATACATTGCATACGCAGCAAGATTTCATTGGCTAAACTAGATCTTGGCCCGAGGGGTTGCCATGGACGCTTGATTTATGCAAAAACATAATTTGGTATTAACCAGAGAAGTATTAATTAACTCGATGTTTCTTGTAGACCGCATGCGCGAACTAAAATTTCTATCCATTAAGTTTGTCCTCTTTTTTCCCTGCCGATATTGCATTTATTCGTTGTCGTTCATAAAAGTGTTAACTCGTTGTCAGCCAACCAGAAACGCGCAATTTTATGTTCAAATCATGGTATGGCATATTTGTAAGCCCCTAAAGAAAAAAAAAATAAACAGGCAGCGACTGTTCCATAGAAAATTAACTACAAAGTTTTTTATTCATAATCGCTCTTAAGGTAAACTCTAGATGCAAGGTAACCCAAAACCATTACGCTCTAACACGGGTAAAGGACTAGACCCTAATAGAAGTAGCATATTATGCTATTAGCATTGCTCAGTTTTTTTCCAAATTATGTTCAAAATTATGCTCGTTTTCGAAAACTATGCACTTTTTTCCCTAAGGTATGCTTTTCAAAAAATAAACACAAATAAGTCGAAACTATAGAGTTTACATTGGACAAAGCGATACAGTTATGCCCCAATTTCGATCAGGCAGTAAATTGCTTATTTGAAAATGTATCCAAATGGCAAAAAACTTAAGTGAATCCGTTAGAGACCAATCAATCACATGAATGACTAGAAGAGTTATTCCCATTGAAATTATGTTATTTTTCTCCGAATATGCCAGTGTCATTTACTGATTAAGATCACCGTTCACTTAAAATCACCAGGCATAAAATTTACCGTCTTCATTTACATAATCATTGCGCATAAACATTACATATCGACAATCCTATCCTAGCAACAGCCAAGCCTGCCGTGAGTCTCCCATAGCTCAGCGGTGGACCAAAGAAATTCATTTATATATCAAGCAAAGTTTGACTCACAGTATTTAAAGGACTGTTGTTAATTTAAAACGCATAACACTCCGTTTAGTTTACGTAGGGGACTCGTTTCTCGAAGGTCCCGGTAAGTTAACGGGCCTATAAAGCTGTTATGTTTTTATTCTAGATGGAAGTTTTAAAATTTTTGAAAAATTATGCAATAAAACTATCAGCTAAGGAAACAAGATGGACAGGTTAAGGTGAAATGACCAGCCTCTCTATTCCTTAAATTTTGATTTTTAAATAAGGCTTCGAACTTGTTAAGTCAGCAGGACTTTCGAGAAACGGACCCCTAGCCTGCTAGGTATTCATTAACAGAGTATCGCTTTGTCATAAATGTTCGTTCGTTTAGACACTGCGAAATCATCATCTGACGGACAATGAACACATTCAAATGGATACAAAACCGGTGTCATCGAATTCCGAGACTGAAAACCTGAAGTATTATTATCTATACAACCGCTCTTCATTCTTCTCCATACCCTGTAGATTCTGGACCAGAACTACAAGTTGAACAGTAGGTCACGGTGTTTATAGTGGTCGTCTTCACCACAGTGTGACAACTGTTGTCTTTGGGAGCCTTCTTGAACAGCTGGTGCTCTAAGATAGGAGACAGAAAAAAAGACAACTCAAGAATCAGGTATATACACTCTTTATTGTTAACCAGTTGGTAACAATGAACTGACAAAAAATCCTAAGATTTTTATTGTTTTATTTTCAAATTTCTCAAACTCTCGGATGTGATCACCGTCGTTGTTTTGACCATACACGACCTTACCTTATTGCCGGGTATCTCTAAAGTTATACTCCAATAGTTGTAATGATTTTATCACTGACCATCGAGGGCCTCAAGTTAAGGAAGGGGCGGGTGGGTGGGGGGGAAGAGTAACTGGATCCCCTCCATCTGGGGGAAGAAGTAATTTTGGAACCGTACTCATGAAAATATACACGACCTGGATGCCTCCTCTAACTACTTTCTTATTTCCTATAAGCCTCTACGGCATGTAGACTAAAGGAAGTTTATGATAAAAAGATAAATCAAGGAGATTGGTCAGACTGTCTTCTAAAAAGAGCACGTTTGAAAACATCGTAACTAGTGCTTAGATCACACAAAGGGTTTACCTGTGTTGTTGTAGTCCGGTGGCTGAGTTTCTTCGACACTTGGCGAAGTAGCCTCACTTTCCTCTATTGATAGCTTGCAGGCATCTGGAAATATTTGAGTAAAAAAAGGAGATATCAAGTTGAGAGCATTCCCTATGATGCTTTCAGTGAAAATCATGTTCAAAGCTTGATTAGTCATGTAGGTTCACTGACCTGTACTGTTCTGGACAAGTATTTGAGTTTCCTTGGTCCCTGGCGATGTGGCGTTACTATCTTCCGCTGGCTGTAACCTTTCTGTGTTTAACTGTTCTAAATCAATTCCACCCGACTCTTCTCTGCCACGTGTTTCTTGCGGCCTTTCGGCGTCATTAACCCTTTTATTTACTCGGTGATTGCTCTTTTTTTTAAGAAAATAGCAAATGACCAACAGCAACAGGACAACAGCTAATGGAACACCAACAGCAGCACCGATGATTGCGGCTCTCGAAGGAAGATCAGCCACAGGGGTCTTCTGATATGCAGTGCGCATGCTGAATGGGGTGGTTACTTGGCTTGTGGGAGACGACACCAATACCAGTGATGCTGTGTGGTTTGTTTCCACAGAGCTGACTGAGCTGAAATTTGCACGAGTTATAACTTTGCTGCATACGTGTGATCTGTGAAAACTGCACCGCTTGTTTTCAGGCATTTCTTGGCACTGCGGCTCGACTTGATCATCTTGATCATCACAACAGCGGGAGCAGGGCTGGCACAATCGTGTTAGGCGGTCATCTTGGTAAGCGCCAGGCTTACACTTTCCACACACTGCCTTGGAAGTCAGAGTGCAGGCTTTTATGGTTTCGCGATACTCCTCACAATTCTCACAGCTCATGCATGCCCCGGCGTCTTTTCCAGATGAGTATGTTTTCCCAAGCACACATGGCTCGCAAACTATGGGTGTCTCTGGGCTTTGAACAGAACTGCATTGCACAGAGAGGCCTCGTCCTTGGGGGCATTTAACACAGGCCTGACACTTGACCGCTCCGCTGGTAGAGTTGTATATCGCAATACTGTCACCGTGACAAGGGGATACGAACTTGGAAAAAGACATCTGGAGATGATCAATGAATATTGATCAAGGAATGTTTACAACGAATATCAAAACTATTGGTGCGCAAAAGACAAGCCTTTCGATAACATGGAATGTAAAGTACATATTTTAAATGATAGCAGCGAGTTTACTGAACATTTCACTTCCCTTCTCCCACCCAATCAGCGTGTATCTTCCCACCTACCAGTAAACCAAAAAATTGCATTCGAGCATACACCCTTTCGATAACAGCTCCCAGTACCGCTCCTAGTTTTGTTGTGCAATAGACCGAACTTTATTTCGGTTTACAGGCGGAAAAACCCACTTAGAATGTTGGGAGAACGTCGAATGTTCTCCCAACATTCCAAGTGGGTTAAACCGATAAAATGGTGGTTTATTATTTTTACTAAATAAACTGAAAAGCAAAATACCGTATGTTTCAGTTTCCCTAGGTTTACTTGTGCAATAAACGATAGGTGTTTGATCTATGAGGGGGCTCGCAGTATCTAGAGTGATAGTGATATAGAGTGATGTTAAGGACTTAATAAGGTGGAACACTTTACAGCCTCCGTTATGTCTTGTTCCAGTTCCGCTCGTGTTATTGGTTCAAATTTTGTTCCAAAGATCAAAATTAATCGAATTTACCATAACGTTCCAAACGTTTATTGAAAGACAAAATCAGAAGCGTTTCTTGATCGGAAATGCTGAACACCACTTCCGAACGTTTTTTAGGGACAGTCATTATTTATTGTCTTCTTCCTGTTATCGAGATTGCTAAGCTCAATGGCGCATTTCCGGTGGTCACTGACTCCGAAAAACTAAAAGCCTCTCTTTTTATTTGCCGCCTGTGTATTTAAGGCACAATATCAATGGCTTCGAAAATCAAGCAGTGAAAAATATTAAAAAAAAAAAAAAAAAGACGGAATAAACTGGCTAACACGCGTAATACTGTTGTTAAGATATACATTTTACAAATGCCTTCAAGCCCATAAAGCAAACAGGAGTTTTCAATGAGAGGCGGGTTGCAGGATTTCTAAGCGACGCTTGGTGCCACTGTTGACTCGCAATATTTGCTTGAGGCCGCGCTTAAACCCTATCAAGCTCTGGGTCGTTTGAAAATTAAGCCACAATTAATGTTTTTTTCGGAAATGTATTCCCTGTAGATGTGAATAAAACCAGAATTTACCATAAGCTAAGGTATAGTGACCTATTAAATGTTGTTGTTTCCGCCGCTGTGTTTGTCTTCAGTGCATCGCATGTGCATGGTAAGAGATCTATTTCTTTCCATAACAAACAAAATCATTCTCTATTTGTGGTTGCTTTTTATACCAGCGGCAGATTTTGATAAGCCTTCAGTTTCATATTGTAATGACGAAGAAATTTTGCGGCCCCAGAGCACGTGGCAGATACTCATAGAAAACATTCACCTTTTCCGTGAAGAATTTAAATATGTTTGCTGAAACACTTTGAACAAGTCAACTCCCCTCAGTGACGAACGAAAGTTTAAGTTTTAAGAGAAAATAGAAAAAAATAAAGAACGCCAAGGATTCCAACCTCACGTCAAAACAGTAATTTGTGAAAATAACTTTCGCTGCCGTGTCTGATCTCCAGGCAATCAAACCTCGTACATAATTTCATGTAAATGTAGAATGATTTCCCTTCTCTCAGTCAAAGCGAAAGAAGAAAGGGAGAGAAAGTGATACTTACTGTGTGATAATTCAGTGCTGGTCAGTTTCTCACTGGCAGAGCTTATAATATTAAATGCAGGTAATAAAACTTTAAGATGTAGATGTTCCTTGGTTGGTTACTTTCCGGTATGACTGACTAGTTTCACAAGTTTACGTTTTAATTCTCTTTAATCCACATCCGGAGAGACATACTTACTAGGTCACGCCTATCGGCAATAGATGAGTGGTAGTCATTGCGGTTGGAAGGCTTCCAATTGCAGTGTCAACTGTTGGTAGGTAGACATTACGGTGTTTAAGATATCTTCTTTTTCACTACAGAAACATTGCCTGATAAAACTTTAATTCACCTTCAATGTTCAAAGAGTCCTTGACGGTAGGTTTTACAAACTTCAAGATGCAGATGTTCCTTAGTTGGTTACTTTCCGGTATGACTGACTAGTTTCACAAGTTTAAATCTTAATTCTCTTTAATCCACATCCGGAGAGACATACTTACTAGGTCATGCCTATCGGCAATAGATGAGTGGTAGTCATTGCGGTTGGAAGGCTTTTAATCGCAATGTGAACTATTGGTAGACATTGCGGTGTTTAAGATATCTTTTTTTTATCTACAAAAACATTGCCAGTTCAAGCTTTAATTCACCGTCAAAGTTCAAAGAGTCCTTGACGGTTGGTTTACAAAACCTCAAGATGTAGATGTTCCTTGGTTGGTTACTTTCCGGTATGACTGACTAGTTTCACAAGTTTACGTTTTAATTCTCATCAATCCACATCCGGAGAGACATACTTATTACTAGGTCACGCCTATCGACAATGGATGAGTTGTAGTCTTTGCGGTTGGAAGGCTTCCAGTCGCAATGTCATCTATTGGTAGACATCACGGTGTTTAAGATATCTTCCTTTTACCTACAGAAAAATTTACTTTGACAAATAAAGAGGTATTAACCGTTAACAAGTTTAAATCTTAATTCTCTTTAATCCACATCCGGAGAGACATACTTACTAGGTCATGCCTATCGGCAATAGATGAGTGGTAGTCATTGCAGTTGGAAGGCTTCCAATCGCAATGTCAACTGTTGGTAGGTAGACATTACGGTGTTTAAGATATCTTCTTTTTCACTACAGAAACATTGCCTGATAAAACTTTAATTCACCTTCAATGTTCAAAGAGTCCTTGACGGTAGGTTTTACAAACTTCAAGATGTAGATGTTCCTTGGTTGGTTACTTTCCGGTATGACCGACTGGTTTCACAAGTTTAAATTTTGGTTCTCTTCAATCCACATCCGGAGGGACAAGACCTACTAGGTCACGACTATCGGCAATAGATGAGTGGTAGTCTTTGCGGTTGGAAGGCTTCCAGTCGCAATGTCATCTACTGGTAGATATTACGGTGTTTAAGATATCTTCTTTTTAACTACAGAAACATTGCCTGTTCAAACTTTAATTCACCTTCAAAGTCCAACGAGTCCTTGACGGTTGGTTTACAAAACTTCAAGATGTAGATGTTCCTTGGTTGGTTACTTTCCGGTATGACTGACTAGTTTCACAAGTTTACGTTTTAATTCTCATCAATCCACATCCGGAGAGACATACTTATTACTAGGTCACGCCTATCGACAATAGATGAGTTGTAGTCTTTGCGGTTGGAAGGCTTCCAGTCGCAATGTCATCTATTGGTAGACATCACGGTGTTTAAGATATCTTCCTTTTACCTACAGAAAAATTTACTTTGACAAATAAAGAGATATTAACCGTTAGCCGTATTTTGGCCAAACTTTTCCGTAGCCGTTAGCCGTAAAATCTATCACCCCATTGAGACCCTCTAAAAAACCCAGGGAAGAGAAAACGGAAAGAATCGGCCCACATCCTTGTGTGGTCTCAAATCGACGAGCGTACACTGCAAATGGACTGACAACTACGAGAACGCCTCTCTAACCACGAATGCAAAGAAATGGGAAATGGAGACTTTTTTTTCCTGGTCTTTATCATGTGACTGGAACGGCCACTCGCGCTTGTACTAGGAAACATTAGACAAGAATCCCTACATAAGGGCCGTACGCGATGGCGTCAGTGCAGCCGAATAAAGGGGGACGGTCTTGCAAAATGCCGAGCTGAAAGAAGAGAAGAAGACAACAGAAAAGTGACGATCATTATGATAAAACGCTAATTGACTGAGTTGAGGCGGACCGAGTGGGAAAATATTTGGCCCTCGGTTATAATGCATGTATCGCGCTCGACCACTTGACGTAATGACCTCGAGCCAAATATATCATCAGGTACATTGACAACAAACCTGTTTGCAGTGATACGTTAATGTATTTGTCTTACATGAGGTTGAACCTTCGAAAAAAAATGCTGCACGTTTGTCGAATGAAATATTACAATAGCACTATCTTTGAAATGTCAACCAGTTTCAGTATTAAAAACCTGCCAACTTGCGCGGGCAAGTACGTCGAAAACTGAGGGAAACTCATCGAAATATAAAGTGAAATAGTTTTAGGTTAAGTGTTCCATTCTGTATTTCCTTGTTATGAAGAACTGCTAGAAGGTGACTTCAGATTGCATACATGTTATTTCTACACGATTTGATTGAAACTGCTCAACTACTCAAGCGCGAATACAATACCTTCCTGGTGGGCAAAGTACAAAATGAGTGGTTGAATGAAAAAGTGTTTTGTGCAAATTACAAAATGAGTGGTTGAATAACAAAATGTTTTCACATCTGCGAGCACAGGTAGCGTCGAGATATACTCTTCCCACAGCCGCTGACGTTTTTTGCCTTTTTCTCTTTTTTTCTAGGAAGGGAAAAGAAATGACGTATTTCAAAGCGATTTCGTTGTGCTGTTGATGAATGATGATCATAACTTGTTCAAGCAAAATTTCTTGTTTCAGTTTCCGTTCCGTGACTGGTTTGTTTTGGGAAGTTAATTGATATCGAACTTTGAAAGCGTGAAGACATGTATAATCAGATACAGGTTCTACTTCTACAGTTTCACCCCTGTCACATCACATTATGGTCACGAGAATAAAGGAAATGATCAAGCAAAATTTTTTGTTTCAGTTTCCTTCTCGTGACTGGTTTCAATTTTTGCGAAGTTAATTGATATCGAACTTTGAAAGCGTGGAGACATGTATAATCAGACACAGGTTCTACTACTACAGTTTCACCCCTGTCACATCACATTATGGTCACGAGAATAAATGAAATGATCAAGCAAAATTCCTTGTTTCAGTTTCCGTCTCGTGACTGGTTTGTTTTGCGAAGTTAATTGATATCGAACTTTGAAAGCGTGGAGACATGTATAATCAGATACAGGTTCTACTACTACAGTTTCACCCCTGTCACATCACATTATGGTCACGAGAATAAATGAAATGATCAAGCAAAATTCCTTGTTTCAGTTTCCGTCTCGTGACTGGTTTGTTTTGCTAAGTTAATTGATATCGAACTTTGAAAGCGTGGAGACATGTATAATCAGATACAGGTTCTACTTCTACAGTTTCACCCCTGTCACATCACATTATGGTCACGAGAATAAAGGAAATGATCACCAAATAAAGAAGCTCTTGATCTTTAAACAAATTCCCCTTGGTAGCAGCTGAAGAAATATATAGAGAACAGTATGGAGAATGTCAAGATGTAAAGGGTTAAAGAAGAAATAAGCATAATGATAATATAGGGCCTGACGTTCCATACGTAAGCTTTTAAATTCTTTACAGTTGCCAGTTTACGTTATCAACTCGATTGGTAATGCTAAATTACCCTGTTATACTCTCCCACCGACGCAGTACCGCATGTTTCTTTGAAAACTTACCCCCTTTATAGAATTGACATGGATCGATTGGAGTAAGCGAACGGATTACAAATGAAGTTTTGAAAGCTTATCGACGCGACCATTTCAAGGCTTGGTGTCATTTTAAAGCTGACTATTAACTCTCGATGAATATATGTTGTCTTCTTGAGTACGCCTGACTTTGTTGATTTAATACAAACGGTCGTGTAAAAGTCATTTTCGAATAAGTGCAAAAACCAAACCCTAAAAATTCGCCTTAACTGCCCTGATACTTAGGAGATAGACATTGTTTCGTTTAATAAATAGGCGTTGCCTCGTGTTGACAGATTTATTCGATGACAAGAATCGTGATTGACATTAATTCAATAGATTGATTTAAAAGCGTTAGATTATTATGTTTAAGTCAGTTTTTCAGCAGAATCGAAGTGAGAAAGAAGTTATTTTGTTATCGTTTTTCTGTCTCTAAATCCGCTTACCTGGAGAATCTGCTAACCCGTAAAGTGAGACTGTTGTAACGACCCGCCACAGAAGTAAGTTTATATTGAAGTTTTTGAATTCAGTTACAAGATAAAGACTTGATTTGCGTTTGTTCTAATTGCGAATTATAAATGTATTTCTTTTAGATCGAATAATTATTAAAGCTTGGCTTAATATTATACGGTTTGTGGTGGTCACTTGATCTAATCAGTTCCGAGTAAGGAAACAGACATCTTTCTTCACAAATACCTCATAAACAGCCTTCTTTTGCAAGATCAGGATATGTTACCAAGTGCTTGCAATTGTAGTTCACTGAATCTTTCTCTTAGATTTAGTCACGCGGTTGAGTTATTAAAAACCTCCCTATTATCAAAGCAGATAGGGACGATCACGTGGTCATCAACAAACAATTTCCTTTAGCTGCACTTCATTGCTTGATGACTTCGCAAGTGGAAGGGAAACAATAAAACCGTTCCGCTTTGTTGACAATGTCAACAGCTTATTCAAAGGCATGAGGAAATTACTTAAATTACCGGAAAGATGAGAAATTAAGACTAGTCAAAACAAACAGAGAAAAGCTTCTGAGTTCTGAGTAGCTGTATATTGTTCTCTACTAACATTTGATCGAGTGTATAAACTGATTTTTTATGAACATCTGAATGCCTTTTTTGTCTTTTGAGGTTTTTTTTAAATGTAGTGAATGACTTCGATTTTCTAGCTGAAAAACTTCACCATATCTCTCTAACCAGGTAACACAATAGAGGCTTCTCCGGCCTAGGATACTGATTATAAAATACACGAAGGAGTTTTTAGCTAAAGGACAATGGGTAAAAGTGATAATCGTTTTTTTTTTAAGTTTGTGTAACACACTACACCACGGTAAATATCAGAGGGCTTTCAAGCGATGCGGAAACATTTTACCGCGAAGTTCTTTAGGCGATCATTAAGAAGTTTCGGGAGCGTCCGATTACATGGCATTAGATTTTCTTACTTAAGAAGTTCTACCTTGTTTGTAGAGTTTCTTGTTGCCCTCTCCTGATGTTCAATTTGGTCAATCGAGCGAGACGTAAGCAAGGGTAAAAAGCCAGGGAGATGTCCCATCTGTTACTGTGGGGGCACCCAGATCTTAAACAGGAACTTGAATTTTTGCGACTCGTCAATACAAAATTAATGTGCTTACGAGGCACATTTTAGGTCAGGAGTAGCGAAATAAATCGCACTATTCCTTTAATTACCTTATATGGAAACATTTTCTTAAACTTTCAACTACTGAAACACTGAAGACGCGTGACGCCGGATGCAATATACAGGATGTCCTACGTAATAAATACCCTTAGTCAGAAAAAACCAACCACAAGAAAATCATTTAATGTTTGTGGGCTGCACAAGAATTTTGCTTCTACATCAGATCTCAGCCGTGCAAAACCCGGCGCCGATGTTAACACAGGAGGCGATTTTATTATTACCAAATCACCTGCAAAGCATTCCCTAGTCCATTGCCAAATTGTGTCAGTTTGAGTCTCGTGACACGTGTCGCAGTAGTAGAAACGAATAGTCTTTCATGCCCAGACAAGTAACGTCTCTCTTGTCGCCGTCAAAACAAGGAAGTTGATTTCCCTGCGCAAAGTGGTTTAGTGGCACGCAACACGCAGAATGTAAGTCTCTTAGGAAGCTTTTATTTATGGTTAAAAAAAGCAATTTTTTCTGGTTTTGGTTGAAACACTCAATCATTCTTAACGCAACCACTGTAGCAAGCACCGAAACCCAAATACGGAAATACCAATCATGCCAATTACACTACTGTGCCCTTATTAACCTTACCGAAACTGTTGGACAATTTTTGAGATCAAAAGCTTTTAATGAGGTTCGTTTGCTTTCTTCCTTTTTTGGTACACAAAAAAAGAACAATTAAAAAAACATCAAAGCCATTTTAAGGATTAGACTCGCTAAAAAGTGGGAGATTTTCGCAAGGACCGCAAACCTTGATTTGCAACTTCAGGAAGTCTCGCTCATGGAAGTTACACGTAATTTTTTTTCTTGCTTAAAAAAAAAAAAAAAAAAGAAAAAGAAAATGGAAAGAATCGGCCTACCTCTGTGTGAAGTCTCAAATCGTCGAGCTAACACAGCAAATGGACAGCTAAACGAACGCCTTTCTCATCACGAACAAGCACACCGCAAGGAAATAGGAAATGGTTCCCTTTTGTCTGGTCATTACCGTATGACAAGAGATTATACACTGTATGCAGTTAAATCCGCAGTAAGCGGTCATCCACGAGGAATGCCGGGAAAAAGATGATCTTAGGACCTAGGACAGGAAATAAACAAAATTAATCAAAAAGCCTTTTTCTTCATTTAAATTCCCGTTTATCTCTTTATGAATCAACTCGAAAAATCAAAGCTGCGAAAATACGTACGCAGATCTTTTTGAGAATCCAACAACTTGACCGTTGTATTCGGCGGCAATTACTGATAATCTAAACTATTTTGTCTCCGCCATGAACAGCTCTCTGTAATCAGCCATTGTGACGAGCATCTGACAGGGGAAACGTGCGCTTCAAACTGCGTGGTATACATTGAGAAACGACGCTGATAAAAAGGTAAGTTTAATAGTTAGTTATAAGTTATCATTTAGAATACTATTTTTCTCATCTCTCTCGTATTCTGTTTAAACATGGATCGCGGAGATTGAACGAGGAGACAAGTCACGTAGACTATGCGCCACATTTAAGGGAGTTTGTTAATAAAAGACCAACCCTCTTTTAAAACTGTTTCCAGACAGCACCATTCTGTCACTGATCTACACCCTTCAGTTGTTGCGTGATGTGTGGCAAAATGGCGTCATCATCATCAGCGTGAGTGCTGTTTATCGCAACTTGGCCTACGCCGAGATTGTACCCGAACCTGGATACGCCATGGAGATCCAACCTCCGGGGCCGTGGCCAAAAGACGGCGAAGTCAGCTTCGAAAAAAACTCCTTGAGCTACAGAAGAGAAGGGTCCATGGGAATTAATAGAAATCTCCTTTGCTGTGTACCCTGGGGAGAGGTTTGGCATGGCCGGACAGCCAGGAGCTGGAAAGTCGTCTATCATATATGCACCGTTTCAATTGGCTAAGATAATGATTGACGGATACTCACAACCTAGACCTTCAAAGGAGTAGGCATGGAATTTCAATTATCACCAAGGAGCCAATCTTCTTTACGGGCGCACTGTGCATGAACGTGGATCCATTCCTTAGGCATACCGAGAGGGAGATCTGGAAAGTCCTTGAGAAATGTTAATTGAAGTCCTAGATCGAGAGCCTTCCCAACAATTGTACCAGGACCTCGCGGACTGCAGAGCTACCCTGGGTCCAAGTTAGAGCCAGCTCATCTCCTTTGCACGTGCGCTTCTTTAGAAAAACAAAATCATTGTAATAGACAAGGCGTCGTCCACCGTAGAGTACAGAACGGATCGGATTATTTTTGGGACACTATAATAACCATGATCTTTGAAGGTTGATTTTAGGCTAAAATGCGACTGGTTAAAAAATTATAACGTCAAAAGTATCATTTTCGTCAATGACAGATTGATCTAAATATTGAAGTTCATTCGATCAACGCCAATACATCAAAATGTCAGTTTTGGTTGCCATGATAAAATAGGTTAAATATGAACTGGAGAGCAGAGTTTCGTAATTTCGCTATATGATAATTAGATTATGATCAAGCTAAGAACTGAATAAACTGTTGTCACAAGTGATTTTCCTCGTTAAACGTCCGTATTATTGGTTTCAGTACAAGATTCGACCTGTTGTTTTCAACGCCTTTTTTTTTCGGAATAAGGGTCATTTCTGCCTCCTCCCTTACGGCCCGTCATTTCATTAGTCACAATGCGCAATGAGTTATGGCTCTGTTGCATGTACTCGCAATGTTGTATTGTTATCTGCCACATGCACTGCAATCGCGCCTTACGTTTTGTGTACATGTTGTTATTTCCGCTGTGCTCCCGTTGCGGTGCTCGCCATAAACTCTTTAATTCCCAGAAGTGATTAACATGTAACTTCTCCTTGTAATATCTATACATTATTCAGCAAACAGGTTACGAGAATACTCTAACATGTTAACTAGAAGCTGTTATTTTGATCTAACTCCAGATTCTCTTAAATAATTTACAAGGAAATGAGTAGGAGCCAGAGGGGAGAATTAACAATCAAATTTGTACAGGTAATCACATGATTTCGAGCGCAATTTGGAATAAATAAGCACGAGTAAATTTTTTCAAAGACTAACAAAATTGCACGAGCCCGTAGGGCGAGTGCAATTTTTGGTCTTTGAAAAAATTAACAAGTGCTTGTTTATTCCAAATTGCAGGATTAAAATCATGTGATTACGTGTTAATAATATACATGGAAAAGTGCGAGATGGCTTATCATAATTAAACATAAGCAAAGCGCGCGCATCAAGTGCAAAAAATAATTTATTCAAACCGTGCGTTCGGTCAAAACAAGTGCGTACGATCAAAACAATAATATGCAATGATATCTTCGCATCTTTAAGGATGAAAAAGTTCAAAGTCCGGCTAAACAGTTCAAGGAATTGTTCAGTCTGTGTCCGAATCACTTTCGATGAAATGGAATCGTCGTTTCCGAGGTTTAACCATATTTGTTTTTTAATTTAGGCGTCGGATCGCTCGAGCAAAGTGTTAAGCTGGGTTGGCTCGTAATTTTCAATTTCCTCGGCAATTCCCTTCTCTAAACACCACTTTTTCCAAACCGACAACCAAAAAGCAGTGCTTTTTACAGTGTTTTCGTTGTTTAAGCTGTTTTTCAGCTGTGGTGGCGAAAGGAAACCTACTTAAAACGCCGACCATTGTTTCGCTCGCAAATTTTCAAATTTTCAAATTTTGTTGCGACATCCAAGGCTCGTATTTGATTGGCTCTCTGTGAGTTTCTTTGATTATTGACCAATCAGAATGTCTGATTTGTTTCTTTCTTTGCACTGAATTAACCCTCTTCTGCACTGAATTAACTCTCCTCTGCACTGAATTACCTGAAAACTGCATTTATCTTAACCAATCAGAACTGAGTAATTTTTCCATGTATATTATTATGGGTGTTAAAGGGTTATTAGATTGTGTTGGATGCCAAGAACCGATTATAACGTGTTGAGAAGTCAAGGCCATCTACGCAAGTCCTTTACTACACTACCATCTAAATAAATATTCAGCTCCGCTCGCCGACATGACGATAGCAAGAGAATTAATTGAAAAGATGTTGGTGACAGTCCATATAGGCAACTAACTTTATTGAACTGAAGCATTTTGGAATGAGATAAAACTCTTTTTCATATCTATTTCATAGCTCAACCTTAATTCTAAACAATTACATTAAAGCAATAAAACTAAATAACAGCTGAACACATGTCTCAAGATAATAAAAACCAGAAGAAATCAATAAGTTAAGTTGATGTTTCGAAAAGGTGGCATGAAAGGGTTTTCATCAGGAAAAATAATTAAAAGGAAGTCTACTAAAAATTAGTAATTAACTATCCTAAGAAGTATTTTCCTTGTATGATGAAATTTACTGAAAAACCAACCCTTCGAAGAAACAACCTAAGTTATTCGTTAATTCTTAAAGTGCTTTCATCAGATCATATATAATAACCACTCTTAAAACTAAACGATGAACAGGAAACAATACGTTCCCGCCGAAGGCGACTAAATTACTTTATAGGACTATAATCACAGATAATAAGTCTATTCTACAATTTTCAGAAATTTCCTCAAAGCTGATTATGGATCCGCTCGTCTGTATTAAATCTAATGAGAAGATGTAAAAGTAGCTCTTTATACGAGGTTTGCGATAACCTTTAACGTGCTTTCACCATAGCATAATAACCGCTCTTGTAACTAAACAATGAAAAGGAAACAATAAATTTCCTTTTTCATTGAAAAGTACCGCTAGAGGTGACGACAATAAAGCATAATAAAATACAATAAAACCATGTGATCCCCCTAAAAATCCTCCACTCCAGCCCAGGCGAAAAATTACTAACCGATCCCTTGAGAAAAGGGAATGATTATACTTTTGCTTCAGCCGGAAGTTGTGTTTCCTGCTTCGCTACTGTGAGATTCTCTTTTTCTTGCACTGGAAGTCGCAGTTGATCAGACTTTTCGTCCTTTACTGGCCTTGCTTGCCCTATGCGTCTTTTTTTCACGATAAGGATAAGCGCCACCAGCACCAAGATCACTGATGGAACTCCAATTGCGACGCCAATCATCTTACCATGTGGTGGAGAAACATCCTCTGTGGAAGCTGAATCCTTTTTAGAGTGCTCTGTGACTTGGGTGGACGCTTGCACTTTTTTTAAGGTTGCCGATGATGACACGGAGAGATTGGCCTCCACGTCAAGTACCCTTGTACTGACACTCACATTAGCTATCACCTTGCTACACTTCTCTGATCTAAGCTCGCTGCACTGCTTGCTTTTAGGCACCCCCGGCACTTGACACTCTGGCTCAATGATATCTTCCTTGTCGTTGCAGCAAGCGGAACACGGTCTACACGAGCTAAGCATATCCTCTGGGTAAGCTCCAAGCTTACAGTTCTTCCCGCACACTGCCTCAGAGGTCAAGGTGCAAGGGCTGATAGTCTCTCGATATTCTCCACAATTCATACAAGTCTTGCACGCCCCGGCCTCGCTTTCAGATGAATAAGTTCTCCCTAGCTCACATGGCTTACAAACGATGGGTGTCTGTGGTGATATTACATCACCACAGTCCACAGAGAGACCCTGCCCCGCCGGACACACCAAGCAGTCCTGGCACTGAACGTGCCCCGTTACTGAATCCCGGATGGTTATACTGTTACCTGGACATGGCGAGGCGGAGACAGACATCCAGAAAACAGACATCATGATAATGTATGGCTGGCCGAAAAGTCGATAAGAAGAGGACATCGTAAATTTCAAAGCTAAACCTTCTTGAGCTGTTCAATTCAGGGCTTGGGGTCGTGCTGAAAAAGAAAGTCATTTTGAGTCAAGTGAGCTCAAAAGCAGCTGTTTTATTGGCAACCGATGGGTTGGTCAGAAGAACAAACGTAGGTAAGATCTGAAACATTGAGCGACGACGCGGCATAACAATTTAGTAGTTGGTAGGATGTCCGCATGCAGTAGGATATGACATGATATCCATTCATCTGTATTATCTGCTGGTAGAAGGAGTTGACCATGGCTGGAGCTCACAAATGATGAAACGAGAAGTTTTTCCTTTTGCCCATTTTAACCAGAAAAGACATTAGGAGGGGAGGGGGTACCTAATGGAGAGTGGGTGCTAATTTCCCATTTTGGTCTGGCTAAGGTGTGTAAGCGTCCAAGTCGTTGTCAGTTGCAAAAGCTGATTGGCCAGATTGAAATGAGCTACGCGCTGTGAATTACCGCTTTACACCGTAATCAAACGAAGAACGCTCTTTCTTTTATCACTTTGCTGGGATTTAGTTGTAGCTTTCGCTTGGTATTGAATAATATAATTGCCTCGAAGAAACAAGGGTGAGCATTTAAAGATGAAAAATATAATTACTATATGTTCTGATGAACTCGAAGCTGACGGTGAAATTTGGCGTGCACTCCTAAACTCCTGCAATCCACTTAGAGTAAGGAAAACAGAAACAAACCAGACAAAGAAACGACACCTTTCTGTCACACAGTATCACCCATCAGAGCTTAATTTAAGCTGGTGACACACTAAGCGGTTTTATGCGCAGATCGCGGAAACAGGCCAAATCGCCAGGTGTGCCCGCTGCAGTGATGGCGATTATTTCACCGATCTCTGATATTTGCCACAATTTCGCGTGACTATATGATGTAGCGTCAAGCGACTGCAATAATCTCATGAAGAAAGTGCTGCCTCTCAAGAAATCGCTACGAAATTAAAAATATATCGCCAAGTGCGTCCGCATCGATCGGTGGCGAAAATCACGTGCGATTCACACTGACGATCAAGTTCGCCGCAACCAGCGATTGAAATCGCAGTAATACAAAAGGTAAGCCTTGTGGATATTTTATTTTGATAAACTTCAGCATCAAGCAAGTTTATTGATAAACGAATTCACGATGAAAATCAACAGCATCCCCTTCTAAGAGTTTTCATATTGGGTTAAAGAAATGTATTCATTAAAGGCCCTTACATTGTTTAAAGCCTTGCTTAAATAAAAGCGAACTGAGTCTTGAAATCTTGGATCGCTTGCTAACGATAGTGTTTTGATTTCCTTTCGGGAATCCAGCGAAAAATGTAGCGGTTAAATTTTCCTAAATACATCGAATAAAACAAAGATAGGGACCTGGTTATCTTGCAAATAAGTTATTAAATCATTCCAAACAGCATTATCTCGTTTACAAGTGCGTAATTGATGCAAATCCCAGGCGTTTTGATTGCGACGGGAAAACCAACGCCAACACCGGAAGGTTTTATGTGTTTAGAGGCAAATGTATAAAGTAGTTGAGCCTAAATGTTTTAAGTCTATTCGGGTTAAGTCATGCAACACAAATAGACCAGACAAGAAAGCTTAAAATAGGTGAGATTTCGATATTGTCTGAAAATCGTTTTACCTCTAAGCTTCTATGTCAGCTAAGGTATAAGGCACTTTTATTTTCCGTTTACATCTGTAGATTTTGGGGTTTGCCAAATGCGGTAATGGCACGCGACACACGGGTTTTTGGGAAGATTTTTTTTAAGGTCGCAAACAAATATAGTTTTTTGGTTTTTCTTGTTGCGCACTTGCGTTACAAATCATCAGTAACTGACAAATGGTGTCAATCATCACTGTGACATTTTTTACCTTCAGTAGTTCCGGAAGGTGAAACCTTACGTCGCGCAATTGACGTGCGGCGAACACAACTCAGTTAGATAAAATGTGACACTTGGAAAAGCCAGTAAATTTAAACAAGGCCAGGAGCAGAACATCTCACCAAGACAGTGAGCATTTCGATTGAATAAAAGAAAAACAAAAAACAAATCGGTCATATTTCCTCCTGTGGGAAAGTCAAGAAATTACTCCAGCTGGCTTACAGGCTCGCGATAAATACAAAACTTCGAGCCATGATTCTGAATGACAACCAGCCTAGTGGCAACATGAAATTCTGAATTAACTCAGTCAAAGTCTTTCGGGGAAGGATTGAAATTAATCTTGAATGTCAGAAATATACTGGAAAACAGCGAACGCAATAGCGAAAGTGATTGATTCGTGTGACTACTACGGTTAAATGGCTTTTCTCGTTTTCAGCTGATCCAATGAAACTTTGAGTTTCCGTTTCAGGTACAGTCACTTTATTCTCTCTTGTTACTCTACCTATCTCACCTTATATCCTGCCTTAGAGCTTGTATCCTGCCTTAGAGTCTTGAAATGTCGTTGCTTGGCCTACAACTTCAAGTTGCGCATACGCTGCAACAAGAGGATGACTCAGAGAAAAATTTTGTGTACCGACTAGTTACATATATAGGTCATCTTGGGGCGTTTTTTCTTATTGAATCGAAAGGTGACGTAAACTGGAATTTAACATTGTAAGGATACATCAGGAAATTTTTAACGGATTGTGATACAGTTGACGTCAGACGTCACCAAATTCGAACATGCCAGAACAGTAGGAAGCTACGTATTTTAAGTCGAGAAAATTGCGAAGCAATCTTCATCTTCTTTAAACCTTAAAATTAATCAAATCTAAGCCTCTAGAATAGAAGTGTTTAACACTTTCAATGTTGCAATTCAAGGTAATAATAGATTTTTCCTGTATAAACTTAAGTTTTCGATACCGACTTTATGAGTTAAATTCTTTATTTTATGAACACCTGTTACCTTAGGTGGACCACGCTGTGAAAATGTTGACGTGTAAGAAGTATTACAAATGCATGGGGGCACGAATGAAGCACTGAACCGAAAAATATTCGACGCATCATCAGCGAAATGTGTTTGGGTTGTTTTTCCTACATGAGCGGTCTTACATGCTTGTTTATTAATTCGCTCTCAACAAGGGACAACAATACTCGTCTTCCCTTTTTTATGTTGTTGAAAAAACGCGAGGGTGCACGTGGGAAAGAGGAAAATTTGAAGTCCCACCAAAATTTAGCATCACTCTTATTTATGAACCAATGTTAATTTGGGGGACGGTAGGACTTTTTAACTGAAGTAGTTCTTCTAATTTAGCGTTGAGGTTCGTCCGCATGGCTGGTGGGGTCGTGGATATAAAATAATTACGCAAATTATAAGGCCCGATATCAAGGGCTTCGAAAATCAAGCAGTGAAAAATATTTGAAAAAAAGACGGAATAAACTGGCTAACACCCGTAATACTGTTGTTAAAGATATAAATTTTACAAATGCCTTCAAGCCCATGGAGCAAAAAGGAGATTTCAGTGAGAGGCGGGTTGCAGGATTCATAAGCGACGCTTTAGTGCCACTGTTGACTCGCAATATTTGCTTGAGGCCGCGCTTAAACCCTGTCAAGCTCTGGGTCGTTTGAAAATTAAGCCACAGTTTTTTCGGAAATGTATTCCCTCTAGAAGTAAATAAAACCGGAATTTACCATAAGCTAAGCCCGATATCAAGGGCTTCGAAAATCAAGCAGTGAAAAATATTTGAAAAAAAAGACGGAATAAACTGGCTAACACCCGTAATACTGTTGTTAAGATATAAATTTTACAAATGCCTTCAAGCCCATGAAGCAAAAAGGAGTTTTCAGTGAGAGGCGGGTTGCAGGATTCCTAAGCGACGCTTTAGTGCCACTGTTGACTCGCAATATTTACTTGAGGCCGCGCTTAAACCCTGTCAAGCTCTGGGTCGTTTGAAAATTAAGCCACAGTTTTTTCGGAAATGTATTCCCTCTAGAAGTAAATAAAACCGGAATTTACCATAAGCTAAGGCATAGTGACCTATTAAATGTTGTTGTTTCCGCCGCTGTGTTTGTCTTCAGTGAATCGCATGTGCACGGTAACAGATCCATTTCTTTCCATGGCAAACAAAATTATTCTCCATTTTTGGTTGCTTTTTATACCAGCGGCAGATTTTTGATAACCTTCAGTTTCATATTGTAATGACGAAGAAGTTTGCGGCCCCAGAGCACGTGGCAGATGCTCATAGAAAACATTCGGCTTTTCCGTGAAAAATTTAAATTTGTTTGCTGAAACACTTTGAACAAGCCGACTCCCTTCAGTGACGAACGAAAGTTTAAGTTTTAAGAGAAAGTAGAAAAAAATAAAGAACGCCAAGGATTTCAACCTCACGTCAAAACAGTAATTTGCGAAAATAACTTTCGCTGCAGTGTCTGATCTCCAGGCAATCAAACCTCGTACATAATTTTATGTAAATGTAGAATGATTTCTCTTCTCTCAGTTAAAGCGAAAGAAGAAAGGGAGAGAGAGTGGTACTTACTGTATGATAATTCAAAGAGTCCTTTACGGCAGGTTTTACAAAACTCCAAGATGTAGATGTTCCTTGGTTGGTTACTTTTCGGTGTGACTGACTGGTTTCACATGTTTGATATTTCAATTCCCTTCAATCAACATCCGGAGGGACATGACCTACTGGGTCACGACGATCGGCAATAGATAAGTGGTAGTCATTGCGGTTGGAAGGCTTCCAATCGCAATGTCATCTATTGGTAGACATTACGGTGTTTAAGATATCTTCTTTTTAACTACAAAAACATTGCCTGTTCAAACTTTTATTCACCCTCTAGCCATCAGAAAAGGAAAAGAAAAAGGCGACGAAATCGCTTCAATGGTAACCCTTTCCTGCTTATAAAGTTCAATAAAAAATAAAAAACTTAAAGAAGTTGTTATGCTTTGTAAAGTTACTCCAACCAAACTCAAGCCCTTAAAAAAATAAAGAGTCCTACGATCGTTTCAGGTTCATCAGGCGATGCTGAAAAAATTAATTTACCGAAAATAATTTTGTTGAGGATCCGATCGCGATAAGATCTGATTACAGCCTCGTTTTTCCCTTCACTCCAGTATTCCAACTTATTTCATTAGAGTTTCAATACGTCGAGGCTTTGTTAACTTTTCAGGGCTTGATGTTTTTGTCCAGTCTTTCCACCGCCAGCAACTTGATAGTACGTTCCAAACAAAGCGAAAGAGGAAGCGGCGACGTTATTATTATCAAATCACCTGCAAGGTAATCTCTGGTCCATTGCTAAATTGTTTCAGCAATGTCTTAGACGTCTTCAGTTCAACAATGTATAAAGAGTCCTTGACGAAAATGTCTTAAGTTTTACAAAGACAAAAGATAGTCATTGCTGAAACCTGGATAAAAACTCTCGTGACCGGCGCTCACGAACAACGAACTTTATGTTTCACGCCCAGACAAACAACTTCTCCCTTGTCGTTGTCATGAAATATTTTCATTACTCCGGTGGCACGTGAGGCGCGGGAAATCATGAAATTTCCACTACTTTGCTCTTATAAAAACTCAGTGTTTCCCAAACTTAAACCGTTGCACAATTTCTGAACACAGATGGTTTTAATGTTTTTCATTCACTTTCATCTTTGTTGGCAGAGCGAAACTTATTGTAGGGCTTAGACTTCCTACAAAGTAAATGATTTTCTTAATGACCTTACACCTCGATTGATATGTTCTGTCAATGAGTTTCGCTGCCAGAGGTTAGACGTAATTTCTTTTCTCCTCTCAAACAATGTCTCAATAGGGTTAACCGTTCACCGAAAAACGGCCAAAAAATCAAACCTGACAATTTTTTATCGTCAATCTTAGAAAAAAAAAAAAAGATGACTGTAAAAACACACTTTCTTTGACAACTATAGTGAGCCGTATATTAGCCAAATTCTTCCCTAGCCGTTAGCCGTAAAATCCATCACCCTATTGAGACCCTCTTAAGTTCACTGAATCTTCCTCTTAGATTTAGTCACGCGGTTGAGTTATAAAAACCTCCCTATTATCAAAGCAGATAGGGACGATCACGTGGTCATTAACAAACAATTTCCTTTAGCTGAAATTCATTGCTTGATGACTTGCCAACTTACCGAATAAGTGCGCACAATGTATAAACTAATTATAATTTTAGCAAACGAAAGTCGTTCTTTGTTCACATGACAGAGTATCACTGAAAACAACCGTTAGAATGGGTGCGTTGGACAGAACAACTCATGTTTACAGTGGGGCGATGATAAATGCGTACAGACTAATATTACAGCTGACTGAAAAAAGTGCGTACGACTGAAAACAACCGTTATTAGCGGGGGATGGTAAATGCGTACAGACTAATATTACAGCTGACTGAAAAAAGTGCGTACGACTGAAAACAACCGTTAGAATGGGTGCGTTGAACAGAACAACTCATGTTTACAGCGGGGCGATGATAAATGCATACAGACTAATATTACAGCTGACTGAAAAAAGTGCGTACGACTGAAACTGATATTTTCAAGTGACCTAAGCTCGCCCTGGGAAAAAATAAAAACGCCTATTTGTTGACAATGTCAACAAGTTATTAAGGAAATGAGTTAAACTTCACGAATGATGGGAAAACATTTGAAAGTGAAAACAAAATTCGGAAAGCTTTTAGAGGGTTCTATGGTCCGCCGAAACACATCACTATCAGGAAACACAGCTTACTGTCTTCCTTACTGAATGGCAATCCTCTTCTGCCTAGAAAACTGATAATAAAATGAACAGGAGAGGACAACAAGGCTCGTCTGATCTTCCTTTTGCTTGTCCCTTTGTTTGCTCCATTTCTCCACATCTCCTCGCGCAGTTCGCTTTCAAAGGAAACGGAATGGCTGTCCCACTAAAAGTTAGCGTTACTCTTATCTGTGAACCAATGTTAATTTGGGGGCGGTAGAACTTTAAATAGTCGGGTCCAAGACTGCTTTATTTTCAACTGGAATATTTCTTTTAATTTAGGGGTGAGTTTTTTCAGCATTTCTGGTGGGGTCGTGTATTTAAAATAATTACGTTCGTTAGCAAAACTCCAGTACACCTAATTACGAATGCAGTGTCTATGAAACTTAAACTGTGGCATATACATTCCTAACGATCTACCTGTTTGATTTACCCGCTTTCAAATTTTAAAACAAATATTTTGTTAATATTCATAGGCAAAGTCCATGTTTAACATGACGCCGACTGTTGCTAATTTGATACACGATTGAATTCTTTCATATTTTTGGCTGCCAGATCATTACTAGATAGACTGTTTCACGCTATTGCTTCCCTCTATCGATAGAATTCCGAGTAAAATTTTTTTCTGCTTTCAGAAGGAAGATGTCTCTGTTTCTTCTGCTCTCGTGTTTCGAACTTCTCAAGTGGAAGGGAAACAATAAAACCGCTCCGCTTTGTTGACAATGTCAACAGCTTATTCAAAGGCATGAGGAAATTACTTAAATTACCGGAAGGATGAGAAATTAACAGTAGTCAAAACAAACAGAGAAAAGCCTCTGAGTTCCGGCATGGGTAGCTCTATATTGTTCTCTACTAACATTTGATCGTGTGTATAAACTGATTTTTCATCAACATC